TTTTTTTTTTTTTTTTTTTTATTCTTTTTTTTTCTTTATTTCTTGTTTTATTTTATTTTATTTTTTTTTTGTTTTTTTTTCATATTTAATTTCATTACTTTTATTTTTCATTTTTTTGTATTTCCTTTATTTCATTTATATTTGTTTATCGAATGCCAAATAAGCACCCTAAACAACCATTAAAATGATATGTAACGCGAAATATACATATCTAATGATCTTACATAATCTATTTATTATTGATGTAATAAATTACTATATTTGTATAATTATGTGAAATTGTAACATAATTAGTTAGTCGAATTTAAAATCTTAAAAACCATTGATACGTTGTGCAACTCTATCGTGTATGTTTATTTTAATAATTTATTTATAAAATAATTTATTGATAACAGTAATTATTAACATTACTGTAATGTTATGTTATAAAACATTTATTTTTAGCATTCATATGTTACATGAGAAACAAAATTTATCTTCTAATTGAATAATCTCATTTATACAAAAAACATTATTTTTATAACTTCGATTATTTACATCAAAACTTTTTGTAGAGTAATTATTACAGCCTTACTAACTAAGTACCAAACAAAAATTGTTTTAACTAAAAAAAAAAGACATCCACCATAATATTACACTCTTCAAGGTTTTGTAAGTTGTATTGTTTTGTACATTACGATACTAGTGCGCGAAAAAGGCAATTGATGCACGCGTATCAGTTCGCACACGAGCGCTAGCGAGTGTGCAAAAACACGTGTGTGTCAATACCCTAACCTCTCGCACGTGTGGTGCATACAGCTTTTCGACACATCGTGCACGGGGAACGAGATTATGAGCCATCTAATATGGCTCTAAAGATCTTGACGTACACAGGCACTTGCACGAGTGCACAGCATGAGTTGTGAGTCATGTGTGTGAATCAAGGTCTTTAGAGCTACAACAGATGGCTCATAATCGAGGTCCCCGCGCATGGCGTGTTGAAAAAATTTTTTCGTATATTTATTAAAGTGGAAGTTCAAAGGAAGTTGTGAGTGTAACAGGATTGAACAAAATATTAAAATAAATAAAATAATTAACCAACTATAAGAGTTTCACCTTATAGTAAAGGTGGCTAAAGCAAGGCTACATAGGTGACTGAGAGCTCTTGAGAAAAAAAACTGAAATGAAAATTTTTCTGAATTAAATGGCAAACAAACTGAAATAGATCATACGAATACTAAGGGGGACTAGGGAGGGCCAAAGAAGTATTATAAAAATGGGTGGGGTATAATCGGAGAATACAGGTGGGTATTATGAAAATGAAGGGGGCTAAGTGTTATAAAAATGAGGGTGGACACGAGATATCATCAAAATGAGAGGGGAGGAGGAGGGGTTCTTCAAGAAGTTTTGACCGAATAAAATGATGGACTAACTGAAAGAATTTCAATCTATATTGAGCGGAAGCTGAGGGGGCTTTGCACTAAAAAGCAAAAAAATGGCCAGTAAAGCTTGGCTGCACGGCTACTGTAGCTTGTCGACCCAAGCAGCTACTTTCAGGCTAGGTTTTCCTGCGAGCCAAGCAGAATCTGCTTGGCAGCCAAGGCAAATGTGACCAGCCACTAACTGAGCACTGTGTACTTCGGCACATTGGCGTCGGCCAAGCACATTCTGCTTGGCTCCCAGGCTAACCTACCCCGAAAGTAGCTACTTGGTTCGACAGGCTACAGTAGCTGTGCAGCTAAACTATACTGGCCGTTTTTTTTTTCAGTGTGAAACAATGAGGAGGCTGGCAAAGGGTTGAAGATGGGGTCAACGAAACATTCAACCTAATCAAAATAACGAAGACGTTAAGGGTATTATGGGGAAAAATAAATTTCTTACGACAGTTTAAAAAAAATTACAAGGTGTTGGTTTTCATGATGTTAACAACAGATTAAAACTTCAGGAACCGTAGCGTCATAATAGCAAACTTAGGATCTTATAAACAGAAATTCGTCACTCTTAAAGTTCAAGTTAGTAATATTAATTGTAATAAAATTGAAATTGTAATGAAAAATTGGAAAAAAGTCTCAAGACCTCGTAAAGTACAAAAAATACAATTGATTGTAGTCAATAAGAATCACAACAGCAAAAAAATAACAGTAATATTAATAAAAATATTATGAAAAACAAAAGATTCCTAATCGTTGATATTTTCATTTTTGTTTCAGTTACTTGTGGAGTTGGAGTAGATTTTGCTTTTTATGGACACCAACTTGGTTTTTACGTTTTGTAAGACATAAGCTCAATACATTTTTTTCTGTTAATATTTCTTAAAGTATCATAAATGCACATCAAATAAAACTTTGTGGCTTTTTACGTGTGCTTTACTTATGTTAGAACTTCTCATTTCTAGGTTTTTTTCAGTAATAATTTTTCTTCTAGAAATTGAATGGATA